GCGTTTTAGTCTCCGGATCTCTTTCATCTGTGAGAGAGCTGAGAATCAACATGTTTGGCAAATCCCTAAAATTGGCGAGTTGCTTGAGTACTTGTAAAACCCTAAAAACAATGATACTCAGTGAACTAAGTGTTGATGCTGTTGCGCATTCGTTTCGTTTGCCATCACTCAAAAGTCTACACCTTTTCTCGGTTAAGTTCTCTGGCGAGGAATCTGTTGCAAGTCTTTTAAAAAGTTGCCCGGAACTTGAATATTTGGTTATAAACCAGACCAAAGATGACAATGTGATGATATTCACTATCGACGTGCCTACTTTGAAGAGCTTAATAATTGATAACTCAAAAGGGGAATGCATCTATATTGAGGAGATTCATGGGTTTGAGATAAAAGCTCCTGCTTTAAGGAGCTTGAACTTTAAGGATACATTCAGCAACTTTGTAATGTTTGAATATATGCGTGAGGTGATCAAGGCGGATATCGAGGTTATTTGTGACCAATCTGAGCAGTTCATAGAATCTCTTCCCTCAATCCAACATCTTTCTCTATGTTCTCTAACTTCAAAGGTTCTTTCTTACTCCAATAATGTCAAAGTTTCTCCTTTTGTGTTTTGTTATTAATATTATCATTTACAGTAAATCATATATAATTCAATTGCAGGCTCCATATCCTAGATGCACTTGCTTCTTCTTTCTTGAACATCTAGAGCTATGTACATGCTCTGCGGGATGGTTAGATTTACTTGCTTGTATACTCAATGACGCTCCAAGACTTCAATCTTTGAAGCTTAAGTCCGTATGTTGTATGCAATTTTTTGTTTTTACGTTTGGTTTGACTAGTAAAGTAGTACCTTAGATAAACAGTATAATAACATATATACTAGGATAATCAAATAGCAAAAACACTTTATTAGTGACGTTTTTCGTATCTTCTAGTGATATATTGTTTAGTTTTTACACGTTGATTAGTACTCTAGTAGCATAATTATTTTTTTCAAAAATGTGAAAACCATATTTATCAATGCTTGAATACAAAAATTTGCAGAAACACGTTTTTAAACGTATAAAATAGTATATATATATTATATAAA